TCCTTCGGAATACCATGGAGGAACACCGGTAGGTGTCGCGACACCAAAAGTAATCTCAAAAATGCAATTTCACTCGCGATCCTCAAATGTCGAAGCCTTAGCAGGCTATAGAAATAAGAGAATAATTACCGTATGTAGGTTGCTAACGTATCCATCCATAGCGCAATCATCTTCTTGCAGGCCACCATTTCCGCTAGCCCACACGTAAAGAGAGCCAAGCCCTTTTCGACCCTGAAAGGCAAATACAGTTTTGAAATTTCGATTAAGCAAATGAGCTACGGCTCATTCCACGGTGCTCGTAGGGGCGGAGTCACGAGTATCATTGTGCCTATCTCGATAGCGAGACTGTTCTTCACACGCATCAGAATGGTAAGTACTTGACGTTCTACGCCCATACGATCAACATGGACCATGCCCTCAAGCAAAGCTCAAACCTCACATGAACGGCGCCAAACTCGATTGCTCTTTGAGCTAAGAATCCTGGTCGCTCAGCAGATCGACCATCATCCTTTGGTCCCCAACTGACTGAGTAAATGTCAATGCGATCACTTCTGAAGTCACATTTTACATACTTCAGTGATTTGTAAGGGTAACTGCGCATATTTTTCTCCGATATTCCCGCGCACAGCTCGGTCAACATTGATTCTGTTAAGACACTATCTTATGGAAATACCGCTACGCGATCGCCCGCGTCTCATCCTGATTGCATCAGTGAGAGGTAGAGTAAATTTTGTGGGCACCGTGATGCGCAAAATTGGAAAGGTATCGATGGCCAATCAGTAGGAGATGAAATCTTGTATTAATAATAATCTATTCTAACGGCAACTTTGATGCCATCTCGAATCCGTTCCCGCAATCCGTCCAATACATATCAACCGTTAAAAAGCTCACTTGTATGCGAGTGCATCTCCTTCAACAGCGTCATTAAGGAATTGATTTTCGGCAAGCACTGTCAATCCTGGAAAGCAACTTCTGATGTTCGAAAATGTTCCTTACATTTCGCCCAAGGAAAATGGGGAGTGCTTTCGATTTCTGAGGCGACGATGATGTAGCGCAAAGCGGCCCCGCAAACTGTGCAGACACTGAATCCCGGCTCGGCTCCCGTCCAGGCCAATGAAGCCTACTTTGTGTGGTTGGTCATCTGTGCCAGAATTATGTGGGAGGGTGTAAATTCTGACTTCTACATAGACCGGCTAGTCTTCCGGAGGTCATTGTATAGGCCATATGACCCTCCATAATTCACCACGGTTC